GGCCCGCGGGGGCACAGCCCCTCTCGCACCATCTGCTCTGCTTTGCGGGGTGCGCCGCGGGAGCCCTGGCTCGGTCCGTGGGTGGTGCGTGGGGCCGCTTGGTGAAAGACCTCCGTTGTCTTCGTGGTTGTGTTGGTTTGTTTTGAACTGGGTTTTGAAAGGTTTTGGGGTGGTTTTTTTTTTTTTTATTTCGGCTGGGAAAATAAGGGGTTTGTGTTTGTATTGTTCACCTGACAAAAGATTCTTGTGTCCTGCTCTCAGTATGTCGTGAAGCCTTGTGCAAACCTCAGCTGAATTTGGGGGAGCAAGAGAGGTCTCGAGAGGACTCGGTGACACAGGGTTTGGGGCACAGAAGGGAGGCCTGGGTGGTGGAATGGGCTGAGTGTGGGCACAGGATCGGCTCTGGGGCGCGGTCTGCCTGCTGACCCAGGTGTGCACGCAGGTGTGTGCGTTTGTAACTGCAGAGCACTGCGTTTCCTGGGCTGTGAATGGGCTGTGATGGAGGGCTCTGCGCCGGCTGTGCTGTCTCTCCTTGTGTTGGGGAAATAGAAGAGGTGAAGAAAAGTGTTGGTTTAGGGTTACAGGCTTGACATCTGGAGTTAAACGTGTGTTCTGTGATTCTATGCTGTACAGATACAAATCTAAGACTACTTTGTTCAGGGGGTCAAGAATCTGTTGCTTCAAGGTTAGGATCCTAGAAATCTTTTCAAGCTTGTGTTATTAGAACATCATGTGTCGAAGCAGTGTGAGCTGGGTTTTTTTTGGTTGTGTTTTGAGACAGATTTTAAAATGAGAGTCTAGTAGGGTATGTGTTGAAGGTTATGTTGTTTGTAAAACTGGATGCACCTTTGAAGGTAGAAGTGCTGGTTGATGAACTTGGAAAGCCAAGGGGAGAGAAGCTAATGTTTCTGTTAATTAATGTCTGCAATGAACTTCATATGCATATTCCTATAGTGTACATGCTTCAGCCAGCAGTGATTCTTTTTGTCCCACTGCTGTTGAGTTCAAGAATTTAAGTGTCCTGGTTGGAAGTGAGGGATGTTGCTGTCCCTGACCTGGAGAGCAGTTAAACAACCAAGCGTTCCCTTCAGTAACAGTGGGAAATAGCATCTTCAGGAATCATCCAAAATGTAAAGCTGGTATTAGTAAGGAGTCTAATTTGTAATTTGGGCATTTAGTTAAAAACATTTGCCTTGGTAAGTAGCTGCTGCCATGGTGAGTGGTTGTGTTTTGCTGTTCAAGGCCCCACAGGACGGAGCTGTATGAGGCCCCCCCGCCGGCATGCTGGCCCATCGTGTACTCACCAGACTACAACATCACCTTCATGGGCCTGGAGAAGCTGCATCCCTTCGATGCAGGGAAATGGGGAAAAGTCATCAATTTCTTGAAAGGTAAAACAGCAGAAGGTACCTCGTACATCAACGTTTGCACAAAAGCTAAAGGAACTTACGTGGTTAGTGCAGAATTCTGTTAACAGTTGTCAGTATAATGGTGACTGTACATCTTCATTGCTC